GGCTAATTGTACAACTGATATTGGCTTTAACATTTAAAACTTGACATTAGAACACAAAAGTTTTGAAATTGGATATTGAAGCTGATTTTCATTTTCCCTTGCAAGTAGCTCCAGCAGCTCTTCTGCCTGCGTGGCTGGTGCTGCTGTCATCATAGTGGCTGTGTCTTTTTCTTTGGTAGCTTTTGCTCTGTTAAACCCTGGACTTATTAACAGTGAGGAGTGGGTGAGGAGGAGGGCAGTGTCCTCGAGACTGGACCTGGTGGGGTGTAGGCTAAATGTTTGTGCAAGGGGTTTCTGTGTCTGACTTTGATGTTTCCAGCATTCTGTGAACCCCTAGTGTGCATTGGGCTGCCAGGAATTCACCCACCTTCCCCATGTGCTTCCTGACAGTGGGCAATGGAATAAATTAATTTAAACAATGGAAAAAATTTAATATCCCTATAGCTTCCTGTTACACAAACAGAAGGGGTCTGATTCTGATTGAGATATCCTACTTTGTGGTTACTTTATTTTTTAATGAATGTGTTGTGTAAAGAAAAACTGAGTTGTGTGTAATATACCTAAAATTTCCAGTTTGTAATAATGTACTATTCATGAAATATCCACTTAAACAAGTAGGTTTATCAGGTAAATTATGCCATTTTGGAGTAGACAAAATTCAGATTCATTCTCTTCTGCTTCTGTCTTGAAGAACTGCTTTCATACTCGTTCTGAATTAAAAATCATCAGTAGCCTTCAGACCGCTTGATAGCTTGGATGTCTCTCTACAAGTTCAGTATATGAACATGGATTACTTCATGGGATAATTTCATGAAGCCCTATTATTTTAGAAATGTGTATGCTTTTTCCAAAAGTTTTGTGAAAAATGTTGCAATCAAATTAAGTAATCTGGTTTCTGTATTTTCGATCCTCTATGAACAACAGATTAGTTGAGGGTGGTGACTCACACCTGTGAACCCAGCACTCTAGAGCCTGAGGCAGAAGCTTTGCTGCAGGTTGGAGGCCAGCATGGGCTACATAGTGAATTCAAGGCCAGCCTGAATTACATAGGGAATCAAAAAAAGAAAAGAAAAGAAGGTACCATAATTGGTAAACTTAGGTGTTCAAAACTAACGTAAAACTATTTAAATATTTAAGCAATATCACATTTACTAGATTATACTTGGTTATATAGATAATCAATGTATAAAAGAGAACATCAAAAATTTAGAAGAAAACCTATTATATATTTTCCTATAAAGAAGAAAAGAA